AAACAAAACATCTAAAACAAAACAGAAGGCTCCTAAATCTGCTAACATACTGTTAGAACTTGATGTAAACATAGATAGAATTTTTTAGCAACAATTAGCAGCATCTAATTTGCCCTAGAAACACTCTAAAATTTCACCCTAATCTGCTATACCACTCTACAACACAGTGTTAGTAGATAGACATTTTCAGTAATCAGAACTTCACTTTCCCTATCTTTCCTAGCAGTATTTTGTCATTCCCTAATTACCTGCTCCTAATTGTCTGCTCCAACAAACACTGAACAAAAGGTGATGGACATTTATAGAGAGGGGAATAGTACATTAGAAAACCCCATAACTGGTCCTTGATAGCCGTCTGACCATAGTTCAGAGGTCACAAAGTGCATTGCTGGTACTGTTTGCTTTGGTTGTGAATAGATGCACTAGTCTCCTTTTTTTTTGAACAAATGAATAGAGTTCAGGTTGAACTCATGGTAAACTAAAATCCAAAGCTCATCCCTACCTTCTACCATTACCAGCTCCTGTCACCTCTCCTAGCCAATTCCAGTGCTCTAGCACTGTAAAGATGTCACAGATTATGTTTTCACAGCTGTTACCTGAGCTGCAAAATTTCTATTGTTTTCTGCAGGGTAAATTCTGCATTGTATTTGTACCCCAAGTCTGAGACCTGTTTCAATGCTTCAGCACTATAAAGGTGCTATAAATATTGTTTTTGCAGCTGGTCCTCAGCTATAAAAATGTCAAGGTTTGCCTCAGGGTAAATCCTGCTGTCTCCAAGTATCCAGCCTATACCAGTGCTCCAGCACTGACAACATTTATGGCTATTGTTTATTTCAGAATAAAATCTGTCTCATCTCTCCCTATTATATTGCAACCATACAAAGCTGCTTGGATACTGTGTAACTACTGTACAATGTTTGTGGCTCTTGTCTCCGAACAATATACCGTAATTCTTGGTTTCAGGATAAATCTACCTGATCTCTTTTTCTTAAATTGTAGCCTAACCAAGCTGCCTACATGCTATCCAGTCACTGTACAATATGTGTGGCTATTAACTCTGAAATATATACTCTAATTTATTATTTTAGGCTAAAACCTGCCGCATCTCTCCCTCTTACATTGTGGTTTTACCAGGCTATTTTATTTGTTTATTATATTCTCTAGTCTATTTAATTACAGCTTACGCTATAAAGAGCAAGTAAAATTATACAGTTTACAATAATGACCTTTGACAAACACGACCCTCTTGTTTCATGAAGTTCTCTTCCTCTCTTTAGAAATTAGAAAAGCTACCCAGCTACATGCTTTCTGAAGGTATTGAAGGGTAGGAAGAAAGAGAGCCTGGTGCTGATTACCTAATGCAAATTGAAAGGTTCACAAGGGTCCACATGTGTGAATGTATATGCACCCAGTGGTTGCAATCCATGAATCTATCTAGCTGTTTGCAAAGTGATGTTCAATGAGTACAGCATGGTCTTAGTCATACAACCAAACAGAAATCATCCAACCAAAAAAAAAAAGGTATGCCACTATTCTGATAGTGTCCAGCAGCATGCTCTGCTTGTCACTTACAGTTCTGTTAAAAAAAATAGCAGTCAGACATCACTAACCTGATCAGTCACTGTTTTTGGTAGAAATTATATTTCTACATGGCAAATAATTTACTAGCAGGTGTAGTAGTAGAGTAATAGAAATCCAACAGACCCAACAGCCATGACATGCATGCTGCTGATTCTGTGTAATTGAATCACTAATTGAAAGGGGCATGTTCAAAATAATAGCAGTGTGGAGTTCTATTAGTGAGGTCATTTATTCTTTGAAAAACAGGTGGCAATTATCGTCCTTATTTAAGGAAGGAAGGCAGCAAATGTTGTACATTCTGGTTACAGTGTATTTCTCTCTGAAATTCTGAGGAAAATGGGTCGTTCCAGACATTGTTCAGATGAATAGCGTACCTTGATTAAAAAGTTGATTGGAGAGGGGAAAACATATAAAGAAGTGCAGAAAATGATAAACTGCTCAGCTAAAATGATCGCAAATGCTTTAAAATGGCAACCAAAACCTTAAAGACGTGGAAGAAAGCGAAAAACTACCATTCAAATGGATAAAAGAATAGCCAAAATGGCAAGGACTCAGCCAACAATCAGCTCCAGGAAGATCAAAGAAGGTCTAAAGTTACCTGTGAGTACTGTTACAATTAGAAGACGCCTATGTGAAGCCAAGCTATCTGCAAGAAGCCCCCGCAAAGTCCCACTGTTAAAAAAAAGACGTGCTAAAGAGGTTACAATTTGCCAAAGAGCACATTGACTGGCCTAAAGAGAAATGGTGCAACATTTTGTGGAGTGATGAAAGTAAGATTGTTCTTTTTGGGTCTAGTGGCCGGAGACAGTTTGTCAGACGACCCCCAAACACTGAATTCAGCCACAGTACACTGTGAAGACAGTGAAGCATGGTTGCACAAGCATCATGATATGGAGATGTTTCTCATACTACGGTGTTGGGCCTATTTATCGCATACCAGGGATCATGGATCAGTTTGAATACATCAGAATACTTGAAGAGGTCATGCTGCCTTATGCTGAAGAGGAAATGCCCTTGAAATGGGTGTTTAAACAAGACAACGACCCCAAACACACCAGTAAACGTGCAACATCTTGGTTCCAGACCAACAAGATTGACGTTATAGAGTGGCCAGTCCAATCCCCGGATATTAATCCAATAGAAAACTTGTGGGGTGACATAAAAAATGCAGTTTGAGGCAAAACCAAGAAATAGAGAAGAACTGTGGAATGTAGTCCAATCACCTGTTCACAGGTGCCAGATGTTGGTTGACTCCATGCAACACAGATGTACAGCAGTTCTCAAAAACAGTGCTTATACAACTAAATATTAATTAAGTGATTCAAAGGAAAGTAAAATCTTCAAATATTTTTCAGTTTATATAGTGAATGTTTGAGTTTGTAAAGAAGAATACAAACACTGCTATTTTTTTGAACAGTCTAATATTCACTTTTGTTCAATTTTTTTAGAGAAACAACACAAATTTGATATATTTTTCTTCATGTTTTGATTTGGAATAGAATGTGTAGTGTTTCCAATGCATTTGTGTGTGTGGAAATAAAAGCTATTAGAAGGATTTTGAGCTTTATTCACTTTTTTCAACACACTGCTATTATTTTGAACACAACTGTTGTCAGGGATCCGGGTATGACCAGAAATGTGTGGACTGACACACGGAAGTAACAGGCTTCAGGAATGATATAATAATATAATTTATTATTAGCTACCCAAATATACAACGCACAGTAAATAAACCACCCTTCGACTAATCTTAGTATGTGCAGGAACACAATCGCAGTCAGGGCTGGAGAGGTGGAAGGGCCAGGCCGGCCATATGGTTCTGTTAACGACCGTCTGGTGGTACCCCTAGCAGTCCTCAGGACAGGATTCCCCAGGGCGCGGAGTCTAAGTCCCAGTCTGCTTATTTACCAGGGCCCCTGATGGTGGGGATGGACTTGGAGCAGACAGGAACCACGTCGCAGCCCCTGAGTACACCTGCTTGTGGTAGAGGGATCTGCCAGAGGTATATGCAGGTAGGAAGCCTGATGTGAAGAGGCAGAAGGTGTGAGCAGGGATGGCTGGATCCGTGCAGGATGGATGGATTGTCTGGGTAGCGTAAGGCATAGTCAGGCAGGCCAGGTCAGCAACGTGCGGGTAGCAAGGTACCGAAGGAGCAGGCAGAAAATAGTCAGGGTCACAAGCCGGGTTCAGTAACTCACGGGCAGCGCGGTACAGAGGATAAGGCAGAGAATGGTCAGGGTCACAAGCCGGGTTCAGTAACTCACGGGCAGCACGGTACAGAGGATCAGGCAGAAGGATGGTTAGGCAAGCTAGAGGTTAAACAGGAGACGATCAGCAGGGTCAGGAACAATGCAGAGTCGGCAACAAATCAGATAGGCAGAGGAACAGGAACACAGGATGCAAGGTACAGGGGCTCATGGGAAACAACACCAAGGCACTGACTGCAGGTCTGGCCATTCCTTAAATACACCTCCTGCAATCAGCCTCAGGTGATGGCTGACTGCAGGAGTGAGCTTCTGGTTGCTGAGAGCACCCGCTAGCCAGCCCTGGTACTGCAGCCTACACGGCAGGTGAGTCCCCCCACCAGTGCTGAGTCCATTCCTGACAGTACCCCCCTCTCAAGGAGCAGCCTCAGGACGCTCCAAACAGTCCTTAGTGGGCAAAATGTTCCACCGCCCGGGTCAGGTAACTGGCTGGATATCTTACTGCCGGAGTCAACCGGCTGGCTGGGTTTCCTGCTGGCAGACTTCTCTTTATGTAGGGGAACCCAGGAAGGCAGGTTGCTGGACACAGGATCTCCAGGAGCAGGCTGGGAATCAGTTATTGGCCAGTTTAGCTGGACATCAGGGGCTGGCACATCAGGCTGCGCAGCGGACAGAGGCACATCGGGTGGGGCAGCGGGCAGAGGCACATCAGGCGGGGCAGCAGGCAGAGGCAGCCGGCACCGGGCCATCAGGCAGAGCAGCGGGCACCGGGCCATCAGGCGGAGCAGCAGACAAGGCAGCGGGCACCGGGCCATCAGGCGGAGCAACGGGCACCGGGCCATCAGGCGGAGCAGCAGGCAAGGCAGCGGGCACCGGGCCATCAGGCGGAGCAGCGGGCACCGGGCCATCAGGCGGAGAAGCGGGCACCGAGTCATCCGGCACGACAGCGGGCATCGAGTCACCCGGCACGACAGCGGGCACCGAGTCACCAGGCTCGACAGCGGGCACCGAGTCACCAGGCTCGACAGCGGGCACCGAGTCACCAGGCTCGACATCGGGCACCGAGTCACCAGGCTCGACATCGGGCACCGAGTCACCAGGCTCGACAGCGGGCACCGAGTCATCAGGCACGACAGCGGGCACCGAGTCATCAGGCCCGACAGCGGGCACCGAGTCACCAGGCCCGACAGCGGGCACCGAGTCACCAAGCTCAACAGAGGGCACCGAGTCATCTGGCATGACAGCGGGCACCGAGTCATCAGGCTCGACAGCGGGCACCGAGTCATCTGGCCCGACAGCGGGCACCGAGTCATTTGGCCCGACAGCGGGCACCGAGTCATCTGGCCCGACAGCGGGCACCGAGTCATCTGGCCCGACAGCGGGCACCGAGTCATCTGGCCCGACAGCGGCCGAGTCACCACGCTCGACAGCGGTCACCAAGTCTCCAAGCTCGACAGCGGGCACCGAGTCATCTGGCCTGACAGCAGGCACCGAGTCACCAAGCTGGACAGCGGGCACGAGTCACCTGGCACGACAGCGGGCACCGCGTTATCTGGCATGACAGCGGGCACTGAGTCATCTGGCAGAACAGCGGGCACTGAGTCACCAAGCTCGACAGTGGGCACCGAGTCATCTGGCACAACAGCGGGCACCGAGTTATCTGGCAGAACAGCGGGCACCGAGTCATCTGGCAGAACAGCGGGCACCGAGGCACCAGGCCGGACCACGGGCACTGAGGCACAAGGCCGGACCACGGGCACCGAGGCATCAGGCCGGACCACGGGCACCGAGGCACCAGGCCGGACCACGGGCACCGAGACACCAGGCTGGACCGGGTCATCAGGCTGGATCGGGTCATCAGGCTGGATCACGAACACCGGGTCATCAGGCTGGATCTGGTCATCAGGCTGGATCGGGCCGGATCGGGTCATCAGGCATCAGGGCATCAGGCTGAACAATGGAAGGCAGGTTCTCAGACAGCAGGCTGACCGGTTTGGATACTGGTAGGATGGTACTGGTTGTAAAGAATTTTCGCTTCTTCTTGGGTTTAGTTACTGTAGCACTGTAAGTAAATTTCAGGTCTGTAAACGGATGGAGCAGCTGAAGACAGGGAAGAGCCGGAGGATGGAACAAAGGAGGGAGCAGTTGATACAGAGGGCTTCTTTACAGGGTAAAAGGCAGAATAGGTGCAGCGAGTGGGAGCAGGGGACTGACATGTGGTAGCTAACAGGGTATACTGGGCTGTCATTGGGGGTGCTGTCGGGAGTGCAGGAAGAGAGCTTTGAGCAGAGGAATGATGAGAAGCAGGACTGGTTTGTTGCAAGCTGACTGAGGCTGGGTGTTACAAGTCTGACCAGGACTGTAGTATGGGTTGAACACAACTCCGCTTACACATAGCCTGTCTGACCAAAGACTGCACTGCGTCTATACACTCCACTAGCACATGTGATGGACAAGCTGCATAATGCTCATGGAAGCAATCTGGATCCTCCTCCAACAACCATACCAGCGATTCCACTTGATCTGCACTGAATGGGAGAAAAAAGTCATCCCTGCTTTCAGGGGTACTAGCTGAAGCCAACTCCACATCTTAGTATGTGCAGGACACAGGCGCAGTCAGGGCTGGAGAGGTGGAAGGGCCAGGCCGGCCATATGGTTCTGTTAACGACTGCCTGGTGGTACCCCTAGAAGTCCTCAGGACAGGATGCCCCAGGGCGCAGAGTCTAAGTCCCAGTCTGCTTATTCACCAGGGCCCCTGATGGTGGGGATGGACTTGGAGCAAACAGGAACCAGGTTGTGGCCCCTGAGTACACCTGCTCGTGGTAGAGGGATCCGCCAGAGGTATATGCAGGTAGGAAGCCGGATGTGAAGAGGCAGAAGGTGTGAACAGGCATGGCTGGATCTGTGCAGGATGGATGGATCATCTGGGTAGCGTAAGGCGTAGTCAGGCAGGCCAGGTCAGCAACATGCGGGCAGCAAGGTACCGAAGGAGCAGGCAGAGAATAGTCAGGGTCACAAGCCGGGTTCAGTAACTCACGGGCAGCGCGGTACAGAGGATCAGGCAGAGAATGGTCAGGGTCACAAGCCGGGTTCAGTAACTCACGGGCAGCACGGTACAGAGGATCAGGCAGAAGGATGGTCAGGCAAGCCAGGGGTTAAACAGGAGACGATCAGCAGGGTCAGGAACAATGCAGAGTCGGCAACAAATCAGATAGGCAGAGGAACAGGAACACAGGATACAAGGTACAGGGGCTCATGGGAAACAACACCAAGGCACTGACTGCAGGTCTGGCCATTCCTTAAATACACCTCCTGCAATCAGCCTCAGGTGATGGCTGACTGCAGGAGTGAGCTTCTGGTTGCTGAGAGCACCCGCTGGCCAGCCCTGGTACTGCAGCCCACACGGCAGGTGAGTCCCACCACCAGTGCTGAGTCCATTCCTGATAACTGTACATAGTATATTGCATGTGCTCTACTCTAAGGCTTTGCAATTGGCCAAAATAAGTTACATGACAATAAGTTTTTCCCACATGGCCGACCCTTATTTATCACCATAGGACACCCTACCTCCCAGATACAGTTCATATATCTGTCCTTCAGTAGTTTTTTTTTTAAGGCTGCATGTATCCAGTTATGCCTTTTACTTTGAGATTAAAATTTTTATTGATCAGATTCCTCATATAGTCCAAGTCTCTCAGACCAAACATTATAAATAGAGATGAGCGAATCGAACATGGCGAAGTGGAATTCGTTTCGAATATCAGGAAAAATTTGATTTGCGCCGAATCCGAAAATTAGCAAACTTCGGATGCACGAATCAAATTTTCCCAAAAATGGCGGCGACATGTGTGGCGACGGAGCGGGGATCTCTGGGATGGCGCGCAGACAAGGCGCGCAGACAAGGCGCGCTGACCCATAATGCATTCATTCATGACATGTGATCGCATTAGCCAATCAGCAGCCAGCCAGCCAGCACTGTGTAATGGTGGAGCTATAAATTGCGGCCATCTTACAATTCTCCATTAGCCTCCGGTCATTCAAGAGAGACAGACCTGTCTGTATTAGGGACAGAGTTAGGGCCAGAGAGACTTTAGGGCCACAGAATCGTTACTCAGGGACACAGAATCGTTACTCAGGGACAGACACAGAATCGTTACTCAGGGACACAGAATCGTTACTCAGGGACAGACACAGAATCGTTACTCAGGGACACAGAATCGTTACTCAGGGACACAGAATTGTTACTCAGGGACAGACACAGAATCGTTACTCAGGGACACAGAATCGTTACTCAGGGACACAGAATCGTTACTCAGGGACACAGAATCGTTACTCAGGGACACAGAATCGTTACTCAGGGACACAGAATCGTTACTCAGGGACACAGAATCGTTGAATTAAAGAGTATGTCAGACAACACGCAGAGGAGTGGCAGAGGAGGCAATGTTTCAGGAGCGAGCAGACGTGGCAGCAGAGGAAGGGGTCGAGGCAGCACTAGTCGCAGCCAGAGGCCAGTGCTCCCGGTGTCATCCAGCGGTTGTGTCGCCACCGACAACCCTGCCATCATCGATTGGTTGGCTCGGTCGTCTTCCTCTTCCCAGGTCACCTCTGACACCTACAGCCAACGGTCGGTGGGTACGTCAGACACAACCGTTAGTTGGCATGGCCCGGGAGCAAGCCCACTGAAATCACGTGTCCTCTACCTGCCCCTGTCCTTTGGTGTTCCCTCACCAAGCGAAGTACCGCATGCTGTGGGCTCAGCCCCACTGTACAGTGAGGAAGAGCTAACAGAGGGCGGTCAGGAACGGGGGGAGACATCCGCCTCTTCAGCAGCCAGGCAAAGAAGTACTGGCGAGGAGAGTGGCTCGGTAGCTGGTCTAGAGACAGGTCTGTCTCCTGACCCACACGCAGCCGAGGGGGCTAGTAGTGAGGCAGAGACCCTAATTGATGATGATGAGGCTGATCGCACTTGGCAGCCTCGTCGTCATCAGGCTATTGCTTCCACATCATCAGGAGAAGAGGGTGCCAGCTTGGCAGCGAGCAAAACAGTCGGTGGGTTGCCCAGGAGGCAGCAGGGTCGCAGCAGTGTCAGTGGAGGCAAACGGCCACGGAGTAGAGCACCAGCTCCACTGCAGCCTACCACCACGGCCAGTAGTGGTGCCGGTGTGCACGGAGGAAGTAGCAGTCAGCCAGTGAGGAGTAGCGGGGGGCAAAGTTTCCTACTCGGCGGTGTGGCAATTTTTCGTCAAGCCGCCCGAGGAAGTAAACGTAGCCGTATGTCGACTATGTGGCCAGAAAGTCAAGCGTGGCCAGGGGGCCCATGTTGGGACTACAGCGTTGCGTCAGCATATGCAACGTCGCCATTCGGTGGCCTGGGAAAACCGTGATAAAGATACGGCGGTTCTGCCTGCCCCAGCCCCATCACCCGCTCCGTTACTTGCTCCGTCACCCGACGTCAATCGCCCTCTATCAGCCAGTCAAGGCTCCAACACCTCTGCTGAGGGGAGTTGTCGCTCGTTGGCATCTTCCGCTCGTTCAGATGCTCCTTCTCCTGCTACTCCTCTTCACGTATTCCGTCAGCAGTCTTTCTTGGAATCCGTTTCCAAGAGACAACAGTTTGCGAGCACGCACCCGACGGTGCAGAAGCTGAACGTCCTCCTGTCCAAGTTGCTGGTGCTGCAGTCCCTCCCTTTCCAAATGGTGGACTCAGCACCTTTCCGAGAAATGATGGCTTGTGCCGCGCCGCGGTGGAGAGTGCCAAGCCGGCATTTCTTCGCCAAAAAGGCAGTGCCAGCCCTGCATTCACATGTAGAAGAGATGGTGGGCCAGTCTTTGAGCATGTCGGTCTCTGCCAAAGTGCACGGCAGTGCCGACGTGTGGAGCTGTAACTACGGTCAGGGACAGTACATGTCATTTACGGCCCACTGGGTGAACGTGGTGCCGGCACAGCCGCACCAGCAACTTGGACAGGTCACGCCGCTTTTGCCTCCACGTTTGCACGTCCTTGGTCCAGCAAAGATGTCCGCCTCTACCACCTCTTCTTCCGCCGTGTCCTCAGCCGCCACCCCCCGTGCCAAGTCCCATTACCCGACCGGCATATCACATGTGCAGGGCGCAACGGTGTCACGCTGTGCTGCACCTGGTATGCCTTGGCGAACGTAGTCACACAGGGGAGGAACTTCTGAGTGTAATGAACAGAGAAATCGACAGATGGCTGTCTCCGCGCAAACTGAAAATCGGAACCATGTTGACTGACAATGGAAAGAACATGGTGTCTGCTCTGCGTCAAGGAAGGTTGTGCCATGCGCCATGCATGGCTCACGTGTTCAATCTGGTTGTCAAGCGGTTCCTAAAATCCACCATCCCACTGCAAGACATCCTTAAAATGTCACGTAAACTTTGCATGCATTTCAGCCATTCCTACACCGTAAAGCACACCCTCCTTGAGCTGCAGCGGCAGAATGGAATTCCACAGCATCGCCGGATCTGCGACGTTGCAACAAGGTGGAATTCAACCCTACATATGTTAGACCGCCTTTACGAACAGCGAAAGGCCATCACCGATTTCCTGATGTTACAAGTGGATAAAGGTACTCCCCTGTGTAACTTCGATGGCAGCCATTGGCAGCTCATGCGTGACACCTGCCGCTTGCTCAGGCCCTTTGAGGAGGCCACACTATTCGTGAGTCGGCAGGACTATGGGATGAACGACGTCATTCCTCTGTTGCACGTCCTGGAACAAATGCTGTTAACAATGGCTGGTCAGGGTGCGGTAGACGTGGCGCACAGATCTCAACGTCACATGACCCCTGTGGGGGCAGGACAGGAAGAAGAGGAGGAGGTAGAGGAGGACATTGGTGCTCAGGAATTATTGAGTGAAATGGGTGGTTTTTCCACTCAGCGGACAGGAGTGGAGG